CTCAAGCAAGTCTGGGGGCCCCATGCAACTGGACCCCCCTAGAGTTTTTAACTCAGAGTGCTCCCATTGAGCCTCCAGCAATTCATCAATTACAGTTCAGATTTGCCTCTTCTGGCACTGGTTTCCGTGGTAGTTTTTGCCCATGGATTCTGCCCTGGTCCATTGTGATTTTCTGTATCCACTGTCTTTCTAGTTTGGGGGGCAGTGGTTTACTTCGTGACCTCACTTCTCTGACAAATCTTAGAAGAGTTTTTAGATTTTTACTTGTTGTTAGGATGGAGTGGTAACTTCTAAGCTCTTTACATGGTGGACTGGAAACCAGAAGTCTTCTGTTGAAGGTTTTTAAGCAAGATAATTTACATTTTAGAAAGTTTATCTTAGTATTATGTAGGAGAGATTAGAATGGTCGGAGATAGTGTAGTTCATAGCTACCAACATACCCTGGGATATATTTATTCCACTGAAGACAATTTGACTTGATGAGTTCCATTTATTGTCTTTTTTATCTTACAAAATACTTCTTTACATTTTATTTATGGTCATGAGAGTCACCATTCTGTCTTTAGTTGACACACCAATGTTACGTTAGTTTCAGGTGTACAATATACTGATTCAACAAGTTTATACCATTCTTGCATCTTTGTAGCAAAGTAATCTTGCATGTCAAGTTACACTGACCTTCAGAATACTTGTAGTTTTCTAGCTTATGACATTGAAATTTTATACATTCATCTTCTTAAAATGTTGTGGGTTTTTTTTTCTGTCTTTATTGCTCTTTGGGGGCTTTTTAAAATTTACTTTGTGTTAAAGATTGAAGTACATGAAATACACACACACACACACACACTGTTTTTCCTCAGAACTTAGTCTCATGTATTAATTGCATAATAGCTATAAATGACCATAATGAGAACAGGGAAGTGGTTATATTATAGAGCAGTGTTTTTCCACCTTTATCGACCTAATGTCCACTTTTTTATAATAAATGCTATATAATGCTCCCCTTATTATACTGAAATAAAATTCATAGTTACAGTAATATCTGTCTTCATGTATGTTCAAAAAAAACTAATAAAACCCCAGTATAACATAGAGGAGAAATAAAAATTATACAAACTATAACAAAATAATATGTACTTTAGGATGTAAATAGGTATGAATGACCACAGTAGAAGTCAATTTAAAATAAGAGCAAAATACATATTTTTATGAATCCAAGACTGCCTTGATTATAATATATACTATTATTTTACACACCACTAAGAGAAAAACTGCTCCAACTAGACTGATACATATGTGTGAATATCAGAGATATTAAAGGGGAAAAGTATGAATAATTTAATTAATGAAATTTGATATATGTGTAGAATCATCATGAGCACTTGCTCTAGAAATATAAGCTAATACATCTGGTGTGTTTGCAGGTCAGCTACTACAGTCATGGTGTTAACAGCATGGGTTTTCCAAATTGGCAAGCAACTCAGGGTTAAATTTCAAACAAAAAAAATATACAGTATTCTGTGGAATTAACAGCATACATGTGGTTCTTGGAAAATTTATTGTATATTAAAACTGGTTCAGAGAAAATACTTTGTCTCTATATCCCTGGTTCTTGGATCTCACTGTCTGCTCTTAGACTTAAAACAAGCAGATTGATATCTTCAACCCTTTTCTCTTCTTTACATTTTTGTTCTGTTTCTAGGCTACAGAGACATTTATCTTCTTTGTCCCCAAATGTGGCTTTTTGTTTTCTCTGAATATTATTTATCTTGAGTTTGAGGATATATCAAAACCTGGACTTACTGATCAAAATTGTTTGAAAGTTTTTGTTTTTTTTTTAAACCTTGTGCATGTATTACTTCAATAAAAATATTATTTAAAAATACAGGTTTAAAATTTGAAAAACAACAGCTTAATGCTATAGGCAGCTTTCTAGTCAAAATAAGTTCATGTGGCTACAATGAAAGTAGATGGTAAACAGATCCTAGTCGGGAAAGATTGGTCAGCTTTTTTTTTTTTTTTTTTTTAAACAATATGCCTCATTCTTCCCAACATGAAATCACATGTTGTTAGGACCTACTTCTAATAGTATTTAAAACAAATTAAATAATATTAGGACTTCTGAAATAAGCAGACAAAAGAGTTAATAGAAACAAAGAGATAATAAAAGAGCATATATTCATAAGCTTCATGGGGTTGAAGATTGAGAGAGCATGAGTTATTAGGAAGAGAAACTGTTAACTAATTTTGCTTATTTAGTGAAATTTTATGACTACTGTCTAATCTCATAAAATTGATAAAGCATAATAGAATACTTGGTGTAGGATGGCTGAGTTTTTAAGAACACTTTAAAACCATACAAGTTTATAGTATGGGGGGGAAGTAGTCATCATTAGTCATATTTTCCTGATAAAATATATATAGATTTTACATGCATATAGTGTAATGCTAAACATATATATGCACTTATTCTTGTAAGTAATAATCTGCCTTTAAGAAATAACAAATTGTGGGGCACCTGGGTGGCTCAGTTAGTTAAGCGTCTGCCTTCGGTTCAGGTCATGATCCCACGGTCCTGGGATCGAGCCCCGCATCGG